TACCTAATTCACCCTGCAGTCTACATGAAACCATTCTCACAGAGTCTTTGATAAGTAGTTACCAAATCTCACTATTTTTACTGTGATAGTGAATGGCTTTCGTTGATTTGCTTTTTGAAAGAATAGTTGATCTTACTTGTCTCGGTATCCTCACCTCTGAATCTATTTGTCTATTGTAACCTGACTTTTGCCCCACCACTCCTCTGATTAAATTGATGAGGTAAACATTTTTTTAAAAAATTGAGGCGGAGTCTAATTCTGTCACTCAGGGTGGAGTGCAGTGGCGCAATCTCGGCTCACTGCAACCTTTGTCTCCCGGCTTCAGGTGATTCTCCTGCCTCAGCCTCCCGAGTAGCTGGGATTATAGGTGCACACCACCATGCCTGGCTAATTTTTTGTATTTTTATTAGAGATTGGGTTTCATTCTGTTGGCTTAAGATGGTATCGATCTCTTGACCTCGTGATCTGCCTGCCTCGGCCTCCCAAAGTGCTGGGATTACAGGCGTGAGCCACTGTGCCTGGCCCAATTCTGTTTAATTTTTGAGGAACAATGTTAACTTTTAATTTAATTTAAATGGAAGATAGTATATATCTAATGTTTCCCAATTATTTTTAATTTTACTGCTGGTATGGCACATCTACCACCTCAAGTTGTGAATTAAAAAAAAAATGCTGGTAAATCTATAAATCTGAGGTACACACTCTGGAATTCTGACAAATATGTATACTCGTGTAAATGTATTCATGTAATCATCAGATCAAATTAAACATTTTTATCACCTAGAAAGTTTCCTCACGCCTCTTCCTGGTAAGTCTTCTGCTTCACTTCCCCAGATGCGACCACCATTCTGATTTCTGCTCCTATAAACTGATTTTGGACTTTCCTATAAATTGTGCTTGAACTTCATACAAAGGGAACCATGCAGTATCTACTGTTTAGCTTTTGGCAGCTTTTATACAACATGTTGTTTTGGAGATTCATCCAGGTTGTTATATGTATCAGTAATTCTTTTATTTAAAAACTGCTGTCTAGTATTCACCTGCATGAAGATACCACTGTTTGTTGTCAAGTCGCCTGTTAATGAACATTTGCACTGTTAGTAGTTTTTGAGTATTGTGGAAAAGTTTCTATGAACATTTATTTATTTATTTATCCTTTACTTATTTATTTTGAGGCAGAGTCTTGCTCTGTTGCCCAGGCTGGAGTGCAATGGCGTGTCTGCCTCCTGGGTTCAAGCCATTCTTGAGCCTCAGCCTCCCAAGTAGCTGGGACTACTGGCGCACGCCCCCACGCCTGCCTAATTTTTGTATTTTAGTAGAGACGGGGTTTCACCATATTGGCCAGCTGGTTTCAAACTCCTGACCTTGGTATCTGCCTGCCTCGGCCTCCCAAGGTGCTGGGATTACAGGTGCGAGCCACTGTGCCCTTCTTGAACATTTATTTACTGGTCTTTTTGTGTGTGTGCGTGTGGCATGTGTTTTCACTTGAATTAAGTGCCTAGGGAGTGGAATTGCTGGATCATATGTGAACTGTTTGTTTTAACTTTATAATAAACTGCCAAAGTATTTTCCAAAGTGGTTGTACAATTTTATTTTACCATGAGCAATGTGTGAGGATTCTGTTTGCCATTCATTCTTGCCAACATTTGGTTCTGTCAGTCTTTTTCATATTAGACTTGCTGGTGAGTGTATTGTGTTTTATTGTGATTTTAATTTGTATTATGCTAATGACTAATGATGTTGAACACCTTTTCATATAGTTATTGGTCATATTTTTTGTGTAGTGCTTGCTCAAGTTTTTGCCTGTTTTTAAATTGTTTTTTTCCCCCTTATTACTGATTTGTGAGACTTCTCTATATATTCTGAATGTAAGCCCTTTGTTTGTTATATGTGTGGTAAATATTTCCCCCTAGCCTGTGTCTTAACATTTTCATTTTATTAAGGTATCCTTTGATGATCAGAAGTTTTAATTTTGATGAATGCCAATTTACTGTTTTTTTATTTTATGATTAATGCCTTCTATATCTTGTCTAGAAATTGTGATCCTTACTCCGGAACTGAGTTTTGTTTCCCCTCCCTTTTCTGCATTAATATTGCAGAAATTAATTTTTTGGTTTTAGAAAATGTCTAATTTGGCTTAATCAGTAATTTTTGATACCTTTCTATTGAAATATAGTATATATACAGAAAAGTACATACACAAATCATAATTGTACTTTGCAGTGAATTTTTACAAAGTAAACATACTTATGTAATCACCATCTGGGTTAAGGTATAGAATATTATCAATAGTCTCCAGGCCTCCTCCTCATTCCCTACCAGTCATTAACTGTTCCTCCCAAAGGTTACTACCTTGTATTTAACTTCTGTCTTCTAGATCAGTTTTGCCTGCTGTTGAATGTAAATGGAATCATGCAGTATGTACTTTTTAGTATCTGGCTTCTTTGCTTAGAATTATGTTTGTTGATTCATCTATGTTGTTGCATGTAGTAGTGGTTGTTTGGTTTTTCATTGTTATATATATTCCATTATGGGACTCTACCTCAGTTTATTCATTTTATACTTGGTGAACATTTGGGATATTTTTATTTTGCTGTATTCTGAATAATGCAACCATGAAGAGGTTGTACATGTTTTTGGTACACATACATACTTAGGAGTAGGATTTTCAGGGTCACCAGGAAGGATGTATTTAGAGTCAGTAATAAATATTAGCAAGCAATTTTTGAAATGTGGTTAATATAATCCCCATGTGTAAAATGAAGGTGTAGACACACACACACACACACACACACGCTCATATGCTTATATATACATAGAAATTCCTTGAAAATACTCAAATTCTTCACCTTTGGTGAGGGGTAGGAATGGAGTGGTTCTTTTGTTTAATATCCTATGTGCCCTTTGAATTTTGTTTGACTGTAAGTATGGTTTTTTTTTGTTGTTGTTTTTTGTTTTTTTTTGAGATAGAATTTTGCTCTTATTGCCCAGGCTGAAGTGCAGTGGTGTGATCTCAGCTCACCGCAACCTCTATCTCGCGGGTTCAAGCAATTCTCCTGCCTTAGCATCCTGAGTAGATAGGATCACAGGCATGCACCACCATAACTGGCTAATTTTGTATTTTTAGTAGAGACAGGGTTCCTCTATGTTGGTTAGGGTGGTCTGGAACTCCTGACCTCATGATCTGCCCACCTTGGCCTCCCAAAGGGCTGGTATTACAGGTGTGAGCCACTGCACCTGGCCAGGTATGTATTTTTAAGAAAACCAACTAGTTATTTTAAAAAAATCATTTGAAAATCTTGCTACTTTAGTATATTAAAAGCATTGCTTTTAAAAAAAATAGAAAAGCTTTAAAATTATCATTTTTGAGACAGAGTCTTTGTGCCAGACTGGAGTGTAGTGGTGCAATCTCAGCTCAGTGTAGCCATCCCCCTCCCTGGTTCAGGAGATTCTCCTGCCTCAGCCTCCTGAGTAGCTGGGACTACAGGCATGCGCCACCACGCCCAGCTAACTTTTTTTTTTTTTTTTTGTATTTTTAGTAGAGATGGGGTTTCACCATGTTGGTCAAGATGGTCTCGATCTTTTGACCTCATGATCTGCCCCCCTCAGCCTGCCAAAGTGCTGAGATTATAGGTGTGAGCCACCACTCCCAGACACTTTACAATCATTACTAATTTTGTGTTCCTCAGTTATGTCTAATTGACAGCCCAAACATTTACATTTTAATATTAGAAAATCCTTTATCATTGGGCAGAAACTTGGTGTAGTTTAATGAGTAACCTTGGAGACCTGGGTTATAGTCCTGCCTCTTCCACTAACTGCTTGTTGAATGTGGACAGTTTACTTAACCTTTAGGGTCTTAATTTCCTCTTTTGTAATGTGGGAATATTCTCTGAATTGCATAACTCACTGGCCTTATGGGACTATTCAGTGGAATAATAAGGGAGAACACACTTTGACATACACACACACACACACACACACACACACACACACCCCTTTAACAAGGATATAATGTAATTATTAAATTTTGATTTGAAGAAATAAAATTTTAAATAATTTAAGATATAAAGTAAAACTATTATTAGCTGTTCTCTTTTATGACTTTTTTCTTCCTCATGACATTTTAAGCTAATGAGAAGCAAACAAACTGGATAGCAGCAATATAATTAAAAAATTAAAGCCAATTTCCAGCATGTATCCTTGAGTCAATACTGATTCAGCCCAGTCTCTTCCTCCTCCTCCATCATCATTTATGTTCCTGAACAGAGTGGATGTTCCTCTTTATCCTGGGCCTGTTTGCCCTCAGATCCATTCCTTGCCTTCTTTTCTCTTCTTGGTCAGTGAGGAACTGACCCTTGCAGGCTTCTTTTCTTCCCAGACTTCTGTGTCAGCGGTTTCTGACTAGATTAGCAAGTGGAGGAACTGGCAGGAGATTAGAAGGCAGGAGGAAGGAGAAGCCAGGGCTGCTCTCAACCTTCAGGCCTAAGAGCAATAGTGGCTTTTTGCTCATGCAGACTTCTGATTTGTCTCACCATTCCCTGTTGGGCCTCTCATTTCTTTCATTGCCTGTGCTCTACATTAAAGTCCTTGTGTTTCAAATCCTCAAGTGGTTTTTTGTTAGGTTCTGACTGAGACAGGGCTCAAAATGATAGTAATGAAAATGTCTTATATTCAAGATCTGTTATATCTTTTGATGCCCTTCATATCCTATTGAGGTAGAAAAGTGTTATAATTCCTATTTGGCATGAGGAAATTAATGTTTATTGTTTACTGTTTTCAGATTCTTTGTATTTTCCGGTGAAAATTAGAGAGGGGATAAATGGAGGCCCAGAGAAGTTAAATAACTTGCCCTAGGTCCCATAGAAGACTGGTATTGAATCAAGATTGAAATTCTCCATGTGAAAACTTTTATGTGCTACATGTCTTCTAGTCCTGGAAAAAATCCTTTACTTGATGAATTTTTTTTTTTTAAAAAGGCTTTACTTGCAATGTATTTAGAAAAGCCTTAGTCATTTAGTAAACTTTTCAACTAAAATCTGAATTATAATAGTTTTCTGCTTGGCTCTTAATATAGCTAACATACTATCTCTAGCATTAATCAAAGTGTAATGTAAAGGTTTGATTTTGAGCCTAAGCAGAATGTGAAATTCTTCTAAGAGAATTTAGCACCTAGGGCAAACTACAGGGGAGAATTCTTGAGCTGTCATGTTGATTCACTTCTGGAATTGTTTAAAATATGTTAGGTGCATCTTTAAAGGGGGAAAGAAGGGGAAGAGATGTCACAAAAGAGTAGAGTGAGGCAAGAGAAATGGCAAGGGAGTGTTGCTAGGTTGCCAGTCTTCCGCCCCCACTGTCTTGGTGATGGTGGAGGGGTAGTGTGGGAGCTGGGATATGAAAGAGGTCTTTTTTGCAACTTATGAAAAGCTGTTACCTTGTCTTCATCTATCAGCTGGCTATCTGACCTCTTTGGTAACATAAGCTCCTGAAATGTAGCATTGGAGATGATCACTCTGCTTTGTTGCAAAATAGGGGAGACTGCTCTGCATTTACATGCTTATGTTTTTTGGAGGATCTTTCAACTAGTAACTTTCATAATACTTGTGAAAGCATATAAGAACCAGTATCCCCATTTTTAGGGGGAGTTGGAGTGAGCAATGATTTGGAATGCCAGAAATTCAACTTATACATTTACAGGTAAAATTCTAATTGTAAATTCAGATTAATAGACTCTAGGGATTTCTGAGGTATCCAGAATTCCTTCATCTTTGAGAATAGGTAGATGATAATGATAACAAAAATAACAGCAACAGGGCCCGGCACAGTGGCCCACACCTGTAATCCCAGCACTTGGGGAGACCGAGACAGTTGGATCACTTGAGCTCAGGAGTTCAAGACCAGCCTGGCCAACATGACAAAACCCAATTTCTATTAAAAATACAAAAATTAGCTGAGCATGGTGGTGTGTGCCTGTAATCCCAGCTACTCAGTAGGCTGAGATATAATCACTTGAACCTGGGAGGTGGAGACTGCAGTAGATCGGGCTCCAGTCTTTATGACAGAACCAGATTCCATCTCAAAAAAAAAAAAAAAAATGACCCAGCAATGATAACAGGTAACATTTCTTTAAGGCTTACTATGTACCAGGCACTATTTGAACCTCTTTGTTTGGTAGGTAATTCAATCCTCACAACCCTGTGAGGATGAATATTTTACTTCCCGACCCTTCTATTTAAAAGTAAAACCCCCCACTCTGTGCTCTCTGTTTCTCTTTCCTGCTTTATTTTTCTCCATAGAAAAATATCACTGATAAGTATAACATATTTTATAATCTATCCTATGTAGTAGCAGCCCCTGGCCTCAATTATAAGCTCCATGAAATCATGGAGTCTGTTTTGATCACTGCTGTATTCCCAGTGCCTAGAACATGCTAGGCACCCAGCGAATATTGGTTGAATGAATGAGTGAGTCTTAGTTTTACAGATGCAGAAACTATAAATTTCCCACGTCACACATTTGGTAATAGGACAATTACGTACACTGAAATGTTCTCTAAAATCTTTGATGGAACTAAAATTCTTTTAGCTTTTGGACAACTACATCTCCAGGAATGTGAAATGACCTTTAGTACTTGGCTTTGGTGGATTTTTCCTCTTCTAATCCCTAGAGTTCCATTTAATGAGTGTTTGGGCCCTTGAGCTACCTTACAGATTGAACATTTTTTTCTCCAGTCTTCACTCAGGAAACACAAAATGTGGCTTGTCTTTTTTTCTTTTTTCGACAACAGTGTCTCACTCTGTTGTCCAGGTTGGAGTGCAGTGGCACAATCTTGATTCATTGCAACCTCTGCCTCTAGGCTCAAGTGATCCTCCCCACTCATCCTCCCAAGTTGCTGAAACTACAGGCATGTGCCACAACTCCTGGCTAATTTTTTTTGTATTTTTTTGTAGAGATGGGGTTTCATCACATTGTCCAGGCTGGCCTCAAACTCCTAGACTCAAGTGATCTGCCCACCAGGGCCTCCCAAAGTACTAGGGTTACAGGCTAGCCACCATGGCTAGCCATGACTTGTCTTTTATTGTGAGATTTTAATAACAGGCAAGACTTGAAAATTAGCATTTTATAAATTTTCTTTTAGACTACTTAGTGGTATTATACTAAGTGTCAAAGGTTTGTAATACTTAATGGCAGTATAAACTCAAAAGGGTTCAGTGCCTCATTCTCTTTTACTCTTCCCTTTAGTAGATAGGTGACAGAGGAGTGGGTCATGCAGTCGAGACTTGGTCCAAGATTACTGAGTAAGCCCTCCTGGCCCAGAACTATTTATTTATTTATTAATTATTTATTTATTTATTTTGAGACGGAGTCTCACTCTGTCACCCAGGTCGGAGTGCAGTGGCATGATCTTGGCTCACTGCAGCTCTGCCTCCTGGGCTCCAGTGATTCTCCTGCCTCAGCCTCCCAAGTAGCTGAGATTACAGACGTGTGCCACCATGGCCAGCTAATTATTTGTATTTTTAGTAGAGACGGGGTTTCACTGTGTTAGCCAGGATGGTCTCGATCTCCCAACCTTGTGATATGCCTGCCTTAGCCTCCCAAAGTGTTGGGATTACAGATGTGAACCACTGTGCCTGGCCCCCAGAAATATTTATTATGGTATACTTCTTTATGTACTTTACACACACACACACACACACACACACACACACACACACCCCTTTAAGCTTGGTGACTTGTGCCTTTTTCAAAGGAAATTTAATTCTGGAAACGGTTAGGCAGAATGTGAACAACCAAGAGATCTGCTTTTTGGTGAGGCATAGGGGAAGAGAAGAAAGGAAACAAAGGTCTTAGAAGACTCTCAAATAGGCCCTGATGACCAGAAGGGTGGTTCTACTAAGAGAATATGTATACTCAGAAGATGAAGAGTCAGTTGCTTAAAATTTTACTCTTTTTCTTGTTCCTGGTGTGTAAAATCATATCCATACTTTCTGTTATAATTTGTTCTTACAAATTCCATTGATACTTCGTATTCTTGGATAACAGTGAGCAACATTACTTCTTTTTTATTTAAAAAAATTTTTTTAATATTGTTTAAGATGAGGGTCCTGCTATATTGCCCAGTATCAAATTTCTGGACTCAACTGATCTTCCTGTCTCAGTCTTCCAAAGTGTTGGGATTATAGTTGTGAGCCAAGGTGTCTGGTCATACCTTTTAATTTTCGTGTTCAGGCAACATTAACTCTGAGTCACAGTAAGCATTTTTTTTTCTCCCTGGACATAGAAGTTTTTTGTTTTTTGTTTTTTTTTTCAGACGGAGTCTTGCTCTTTCGCCCGGGCTGGAGTGTAATGGCGTGATCTTGGCTCACTGCAACCCCTACCCCCTGGGTTCAAGTGATTCTCCTGCCTCAGCCTCCCAAGTAGCTGGGATTATAGACACCTACCACCATACCCAGCTAATTTTTGTATTTTTTAGTAGAGATGGGGTTTCACCATGTTGGTCAGGCTGATCTCCAACTCCTGACCTCAGGTGATCCAGCCGCCTCGACCTCTCAAATTGCTGGGATTACAGGTATGAGCCACCGTGCCTGACCGTATTTTGGTTTTCTTTAGGTTGTTTCTCCTTAGGTTGTGGAACATTAAGAAATAGGTTATAGTCATTTTTCTCTCTTCCCCTTGCTCTTCCCTTTCTTTTACTTTTTTTTCTTTTTCTTGGAGACAGAGTCTTACTCTGGCCCAGGCTCGAGTACAGTGTCATGATTTCAGCTCACTGCAGCCTCCACCACCCTGGTTCAAGTGATTCTCATGCCTCAGCCTCCTGAGTCGCTGGGACCACAGGCATGTGCCACCACACCCAGCTAATTTTTGTATTTTTGGTAGAGATGGGGTTTCACCATATTGCCCAGGCGGGCCTCAAAGAAATAAGATGATTGGCCTCAAACTCCTGGACTCAAGTGATCTGCCCACCTCGGTCTCCCAAAGTTCTGGGATTGCAGGGATGAGCCACCACACGTGGGCTCTTTTCCATTTTTAAAAATCAAGGACTGTCTCCAACATATTAAAGTTCACAAAAGTAATATAAACATGCATGTCCTCACTGGCTAGGCTTAATAAGTAAAAAACATTTAGTCATGTTTAAAGCTTTTTATTTTTTTGAGAAATAAGCATTAAAGAGTTGAAGTCTCCTTTCTATCTTTTCATAATTCTGTTCTTCCCTCTTCCTTCCTTGAGATCTTCACCATTCTGGGGTTAATTTGGATCTTTCTACTCCTCGTTACCACAGAAAAGTAACTTCTTAATGAATTTTTACTGTATTTTAAACTTCTGATTTTAGTGGGTAGGTAATTCATTTTATGGTTTCTCTATCATTAGCCATTTTCAACGACTCAACTAGATTTTTTTCGTTGTTGACTTCTCATTTCTGGACAACAGCATAATGTTCTTATTTGCGCTATTTCTAAAGATTGTGTTTATTTAAAATATTTTTGGTACTCTGATCATCAGATGTGATATTAACTATCTTACATATATTTCCTTAGTGACATTCCTTCAGTCTTCTTTACAAAGTCTTTCTATTCACCTTTTATAATCAGGGAGGGAGGGATTGAAAAGACAAAGGAGGATTTTTATGTTTTTCAGGCCAAGTCATCATTTGATGAGAAACTGACATTACAAGCTTCAAAAACTCAAGATATATATTGCACATGTAGTAGTAGGACAAATATGTTTTTGTTTGATAGTCTATACATTTTTGATACACTGTAATATATTCTTGTAGTAAATAGCATGAAAATTTTCATGTGATATTGCAGTATGTTTATGGTTAGTTTAGACATGAGGACAGTGCTAAAGGAGAAGAATCTAAAAACTGTGTTGTTTGTTTTGTCAAAATATGCTACCTAGCTCCAGAGTTTCCTATTTTGGAGAAGCAGAACTGGTTGATTCATCTTCATTATATCCGGAAAGATTATGAAGCATGCAAGGTAAGAGATTGCCATGATAATAAAATGAGAGGCAGGATGCTGGGTAGGCAGCTAACAGTTGCCTGCTGCACAGAGTGTGGCAGTTTATATCTCAGTGATGAAATATGAATTCCTTTTTCCCCATACTTCATCTACTGGTTATCTTTTGCTGTTTTAGTGATGCTTAACATACAACTTCAAAATTTCAGTGGCCCCTAACAAACAGATATTAATTGCTCATGGGCTTTCAGATCAACTATGAGTTGGCTGGGTTTGACTGCAGGCTGTGGATCAATTTCAGGTGTGTTCCGTGTGTCTTCTTAGGTCAAGACCAAACAACTCTCTGCCTCCGGTGGCATATTATCTTAACTTTTTTATCTTTGAGTAGATGAAAAATGGTATTTTGTTGAGTTTTATTTTTAATTTTTCCTCTTATTGCAAGGTTGATCATCATTTGTATATTTAAAAACCATTTGTATTTCCCTTTCTCTATCTTTGGTTACATATCATATATGTTACAAACTTGCAAGCAGACAGTGGTAGTACTGACATGCAGAAGGTATCCTTGGTGTAGTCTTTTTTGGCATCCAGAGCTTTGTGACCCATCTAAGGTTTTTAATTTATACCTGTGGCATTTATACCTATGGCAGTTCCCAGAACTAATTCATACTGGTATGACAAAGATTCATAGTAGTTTTTTTTTGACACCACTGACCTGAAGGCAGATACCAGTATGAATCTTGAAAGGTTCTCTTTCTTTTTCTTCTGTGATATTACTTGGAAATCTTTTCATACTTTTCTTAGCTTGTCTAGTTAGATTTTAGACAGGGGTTGGCAAAGTTCTTCTGTAATGGGCCAACAATATTGTAGGCTTTGTAGGCCACAAACAGTCTCAAATTTGTCATCATCTTATTTTTTATAACCCTTTGGAAATATAAAAACCGCTCTTGGCTTGAGAGCTGTACAAAAATAAAAAGTGCCTGTAGACCCCGTAGTTTGCAAATCCCTGTTCTAGAATAAGTAATCATAACAAGGGAGTTGAAATTTTAAGAAACTGAATGAACTAGTACTTTACTAGGCATTATTAATACTCTAGATTTTTTACATATGATTATTGTCCCATCTACTTTTTCTTAAATACCCCTGAATAATCTTAACCACTGCTCAGAAGGCTTTTTCTTCCTCGTTCAGGCTGTTATCAAAGAACAGCTTCAGGAGACTCAGGGATTGTGTGAATATGCTATCTATGTCCAAGGTAAGACACATACTTCTTGTCTTCTTGCTGGAGAAATACTCTTTTCCTAGATTCTTGAAAAAGAGCAGGCAATTTAAGAAATAAATTCAAGTACAGCCACATACCACTTAACACTGGAGATACATTCTAAGAAATGTGTTATTAGGCAATTTGTCATTGTGTGAACATCATAGAGTGTACTTAGACAAATGTAGATGGATGATATTGTACTATACACATAGGCTGTATTAGTCTGTTGCTTCTAGGCTACAAACCTATATGAGCATGTATTGTATTGAATACTGTAGGCAGTTGTAAAACAGTGGTAAGTGTATCTAAACATAGAAAAGGTACTGTTAAAAATATGGTATGAAAGATAAAAATAGTACACCAGTATAGAGTGCTTACCATGGATGGAGCTTACAGGACTGGAAGTTGCTCTGGGTGAGTTAGTGAAGGCCTAGGACATTATTGTATACTACTGTAGACTTTATAAACATTGTACACTTAGACTATAATAAATTTATTTAAAAATATTTTTTCTGCAATGGTAAATTTTTACTTTATAAAGTTATTAATGTAACTTTTTACTTTATAAACTTTAAAACTTTTTGTTTTTTTGTAGTAATACTTAAAACACACATCAGCATTGTACAATATGTACAAAAATAGTTTCTTTATGTCCTTATTCTATATGCTTTTTTCTATTTTTTTTTTGGTAGAAACAGAATCTTACTATGTTGTCCAGGCTGGTCTTGAACTGCTGGGCTCAAGCAGTCCTCCTGCCTCAGCCTCTCAAAGTGCTGGGATTATAGGCATGAGCCACACATCTGGCCCTTTATGCTATTCTTAAAACTTTTTATTTTATTTTTTTACTTTTAAACTTTTTTGTTAAAAACTAAGACATGCATGCTACTGCAGTAGTAGTATTAACATGCAGAATGTATCCTTGGTGTTGTCTTTTTTGGTATTCAGAGCTTTGTGACCCATCTAAGGTCTTTGTGACACACATACGCATGTGCTCGCGCCTAGGCCTACACAGTCTAGATTATAAATATCACTGACTTCCACCTCCTTATAGAAGGTCTTTAGTGGCAATGATGTGCATGGAGCTGTCATTTCCTATAATGATACCTTCTGGAATACCTCCTGAAGGATCTGCCTGTGGCTGTTGTACTTTTCTTTTTTAATAAATGGAAGGAGTACACTCTAAAGATGAAAACGTATAGTATAGTAAATACGTAAACCAGTAATATAATCATTCATTATCATTATCAAGTATTATGTTCTATATATACATAATTGTATCCACTATACTTTTATGTGACTGGCAGCACAGTAGGTTTGTTTACACCAGCATCATTACAGATAGGTGAGTAATGCATTACACTGTTTTGATTGCTATGATGTTACTAGTCAATAGGAATTTTTCCTCTTCATTATAATCTTAAGGGATCATTGTCATTTGTGCAGCTTTCGACCAAAATGTCATTACAGGTGGATGAGTGTAAATGTTCTGGAAAGGTTTTATTCAGTATTATCTTTTTATGAAATCTGAATATATATATAATTATTGTGTTGGATTTGACTCCAGAAATGACTAGTACTGTTAAAAAACTTGCTATCAAGGCCAGGTGTGGTGGCTCACGCCTGTAATCCGAGCACTTTGGGAGGCCAGGGTAGTTGAATCACAAGGTCAGAGTTCGAGACCAGCCTGACCAACATGGTGAAACCCCCGTCTCTACTAAATATACAAAAATTAGCCAGGTATGGTGGTGCATGCCTGTAATCCCAGCTACTCGGGAGGCTGAGGCAGGAGAATCGCTTGAACCTGGGAAGTGGAGGTTGCAGTGAGCCGAGATTGCGCCACTGCACTCCAGCCTGAGCAACAAGAGTGAAACTCCATTTAAAAAAAAAAAAAAAAAAAACCTTGCTATCTTTACTCACCCATTTTTTAGTTTCTGGCTAGTGTTTTTTGGAATGGATGCTTAGGATTCCTGCCTAATACAGTGATTTCAGGGCCAGAAGATGCTTTTGCAAGGGTTCCTTCTAGTCAAGCTAAAAGAAATGAAGAGCTTGAGGATTGCTGTAAGGTGAATCAGGATGAGGGGAAGAAGCCTAGAAGAAATAAACAAGATAAAGCAGAGCATAAATTCAGCTCATCAAAAACTAAAGATAAGGACCACTGATTTAAATTCTACTCTTCAGTGCCATAAGTAGCATTCTTAATTTTCCCAGGAACTTTCTTTTTGACTCCTGGGTGTAAATGAATGGTTTTGTTTACCATTCATTGCATTTGTAGTCTTCAGATTAACATATAATTTTCTGATATGATTGGTAAGATATTGACAAATTGAGGACATCATGGCAAAAATGCTTTTATTCTCATTGTCACAATTATCAGACTTTCAGTGCCTAATAAATTCTTCTGAAAACATAGGCCTAGGAAAAACCGCTGGTTCTTATTGGTTGTTATACTAACAACTGAAGTCTGAAATGTTACTGTATTCTTTGCCGGAATCTGTATTGAACTTGAGGTATTGATTCCATTTGCCCTATTTGGGGGTTCACTCTGAAAATGATCAGGTGGAAGTCAGTTACGATAAATGAAGCATCTTATGGGGAAGCCCCAAAATGTTCTTAATGTGAAGAGTTTGTGTGATAATTTGCAAAGGAACTGATTATCTATGTGATGGATCCTGGGAGTAGAGGGAGAAGTAGGTAGGTTTGAGCTACTTTACTAAAACAGAGTTTAGCTTGTCAGCAGTTTTGGTTGTTGTGTTGGCCTGTCCGAAGTCATATCTGATTGTATTAAGGATATAGCTGTCGAAAGGATTTACTTGATGTTGTTTCCCAGTTTCCTCTTCTCCAATTTTTCTGACCCCAGCCTTCCCAGAACATGGTTTTACTTCTTTTTTTTTTTTGTATTTTCTGTTTCTTGGCAGCATTGATATTTCGCCTGGAAGGAAATATCCAAGAATCCCTAGAACTCTTCCAGACATGTGCCGTTCTTAGCCCTCAGAGTGCTGATAATCTCAAGCAGGTGGCAAGATCTTTGTGAGTATTGGTAGGCTGGAGGCCCTAGGGCACTCACAGAGAACAGTGTAAAATGTAGGTATAGCCTGCTGCTGGCAGCCACATCAGCCTGATACGCAAGTGGGGAATGGTTAATAGGTATAATGGGATTCACTCTGAAGAGCTTGGATTAATTTTGAAATTTGAGAAAAAGAGATAACTAGTGTTGAGGAATTAAGTATTTCAAACATTGCATTCTAGTTTGATGGGAGAACTGATATTGTTTATCATGTAAATAGAGATACCTTATGGCCTGAGTCTTCTAAACTTATTGGCATCCATGGAATTTGTCTCATCTGCTCTTCCAACACTTAACATAACATTTGTCACACCGTAGGTTTTTGTTTTGTTTTGTTTGTTTGTCTTTGTCCTTGAGATGGAGTTTTGCTCTTGCTGCCCAGCCAGAGTGCAATGGCACAATCTCGGCTCACCATAACCTCCGCCTCTCGGGTTCAAGTGATTCTCCTGCCTCAACCTCCTGAGTAGCTGGGATTACAGGCATGTGCCACCATGCCTGGCTAATTTTGTATTTTTAGTAGAGATGGGGTTTCTCCATGTTGGTCAGGCTGGTCTTGAACTCTCAACCTCAGGTGATCCGCCGCCTCAGCCTTCCAAAATGCTGGGATTACAGGTGTGAGCCACCACGCCTGGCCGTCACACAGTAGGTTTTTAGTAAGGACACAGAGTTCCTGACTTCTGATGGTTCAACTTATATAATTTTTCAACTTTACAATGATGTGAAATTGATATGTATTCAGTAGAAACTGTACTTCAGGTATCTATACCCATTCTGTTTTTCATTTTCAGTGCAATATTCAGTAAATTACATGAGATATTCAACATTTTATTATAAAATTGGCATTGTGTTAGATGATTTTGATCAACTGTCAGCAAATGTAGTTAAGAAAGTGGAGATAGGTACTCCATGGAATGGAATAGGTGTTCTGAGCATGTTTAAGATAGAGTAGGCTAACCCTGTGGTGTCTGGTAGATTAGCTGTATTACATGCATTTTTGAATTATAGTATTTTTAACTTACAATGAGTTTACTGGGATGTAACCTCATCATAAGTTGAGGAGCATCTGTATTTGTTTAGTGAATGTCCTGTAGATTCCCAGATGGGAAGAATCGCCGAAGTCTTTATAAACTACTAGGTAACCAGTTTTCAGTCCTTTGTTCCATGGAGTTCACATCTCCACTTTGTTGTAGCTACATTGCCATTCATACCTGCGTTGTTTTTGCAGAGCTTGGTTTTCCCCATTTCTGTCTAAACTCATGATCCAATATCAAGGAAAGAGACTTTGTCTTGGAAGGAAAGGACATGTCCCTAATGGGTGATGATAAATTATGGTAGTTACTGTTTAACATGGTACATCATTTGGCTTATTTCTTTTTTGGTCTGCATTTATAGTACATTGTAGGAAAAAAATTCCACAAGACTTTCACTAAAATTGGTATAGAATGAGACCAAGGCCTTGGAACATCTGCCACTGCAATCCCTACTAAGAAAGCTTCTGCTGTTAGTGTATAGCAGCTTCACTGGCCAAACCAGCAAAACCAGCTCATGGAGAAAAGGCTTCTAGAATTCTCTGCTGGATGAAATATGAGTAAAGTGTGGGACTAGTAGGGTTAGTCTTCTCAGAATTTTGAGGTAATAATTATGGAAAATATATCTTTTACAGATTTCTTTTGGGAAAACATAAAGCTGCCATCGAAGTCTATAATGAAGCAGCTAAACTCAACCAGAAAGATTGGGTAAGTAGAGAACTTTCAGTTCTTTCTTATTAGTAACCATGCTGTCATGTGGCTGTCTTATTTCTGAATTCTTACATTTCAAAAATGCCTTGATTTTATCCTCATACTTGATTCATGATTTGTCTAAGTACAGGATAAAAAACCGTGTTTCCTCGGCTGGGTGCGGTGGCTTACACCTGTAATCCCAGCACTTTGGGAGGCTGAGGCAGGCAGCTCACAATGTCAGGAGTTCAAGATCAGACTGGCCAACATGGTGAAACCCTGTCTCTACTAAAAAATACAAAAATTAGCTGGGCATGGTGGCTCATGCCTGTAATCTCAGCTACTTGGGAGGCTGAGGTAGGAGAATTGATTGAATGGGGACCTGGGAGGCAGAGGTTGCAGTGAGCTGAGATTGCACCACTGTACTCCAGCCTGGACTACAGAATGAGACTCCATATCAAGAAAAAAAAACAAAACAAAACCGTGTTTCCTCAAAACTTGGCAGACATTGCTGCATGATTTTCTAACAGTTTGCTGGCAGGTGGCCTCTTAACAGTCTGTTTTTTGTTGATGACCCCTAGAAGCTTCAGGTATTTTTTTCATCGTTGGAGTTCCATAATGCCAGCAGTAGGCATCTAGTTGTGTTTCATGTCTTTTTCCTGTCCCCATCTGTGTGACATTCAGTTGGCTCTTTCATTCTGAAGACCCTTGCCTTTTTTTGGGTCAGGGTCTTTGAGTAGTTCTTTATTTTTCCCCTCCCTTCCCTTTATATCAGTTGGGGATTGTGTGTAACTGCAACTGAAAATTTGATTAAACATTGGCTTTACATATTAGGGATTTATTTTTTAATTCTTATGAAACAAGATGTCCAGATAAGTAGTTGCTGGCATTGATTTGGTAGTCTAGGATGTCAAGGCTGCGAGTTTTTCCTCACGGTTACAATAAGAATGCTGCATCTAACATCACATTGCATTCTAGGAAGGGAGAAAGAGAAAGCAACAAGGAGAAAAGGACAGAGCCTATATTGGGAAAGCACAACTTTCCCAGAAGTTCCCCACAGACTTCCCCTTATGTCATATCAGTTCCCCTTCTATAAGGAAAGCTGGTAAATGTAGTTTTTAATCTGGTCACATTGCCACTTTAAACAGGGTTCTATTAGTAAGGAAAAAGAGAAGAGTAGGTAGCAGGTAGAAAACTAGCAGCATCTGCCACGCTGTTTTCCATTCTCTATGATATGTTCTCTATTCTCCACAACTCTTAACTTGCCTCTCATTTTCTACTTCCTTGATATTTTTTTTTTTTTTTTTTTTTGAGACAGAGTCTCACTCTGTCGCCCAGACTGGAGTGAGTGCAGTGGCACGATTTCAGCTCACTGCAGCCTCTCTCTCCCAGATTCAGGTGATTCTCCTGCCTCACCCTCCCAAGTAGCTAGGACTGTAGGTACCTGCCACCATGCCTGGCTAATTTTTGTATTTTTAGTAGAGATGGGGTTTCACCATGTTGGCCAGCCTGGTCTCCAACTCCTGACCTCAGGTGATCCACCCACCTTGGCCTCCCAAAGTGCTGGGATTATAGGTGTGAGCCACTGTGCCAGGCCCTTTTTGTCCTTTTATTGTACATTCAGGGCACTTATTCAGTCTTACCTTCCAGATCATCATTTTCGTTTTTAGCTATTTGTATTCTGTTATATAGCCTATCCAATATTTATTTCATTTTCTTTTATTGTATTTTTAATTTCCAAAAATCTTGTCTCCTTGTAATAGCATCGCCAATATCTCTAATTCTTGAAGTTCTCTTCTGCTTCCCAAAGTTATCTTTTTCTTCCTCTCTTCATTTTGGTTCTTCTATTTTATGCTGTTGGTGTTTTTCAAGTATTTGATGATTCTTGGAGAGACATTCATATCTATGAATGAAGGATTAGATTTATTAGTACACTGAATTAGCATGGATTTCCTTTCATTTCTTATGGGGCACTATTATTTATTTATTTATTTTGCAATGTTAATTCACTTTATTTTTTTTGTATAAAAACCCTACGTTGTAGCCACAGTTGGAGCTTGGGTCCTCTGCACGGAGACTTTGGTGTGGGTCTTGATAAGGTGGTCAGTGAATTCCTGATAGGGAGACTTGGTGAATATAGTCTCCTTCCAGAGATCAGGGGTCAGGTAGCTCCAAGTCTTAGAGATGGCATCAGAGGTGGCCTTGGCAAAGTTGCCCAACGCGGCACTGCAGCCCCTAGCTGAGGTGTAGCAGTCATCGATACCAGCCATCATAAGCAGCTTCTTGGGCACAGGTGCTGAGACGATGCCAGTGCCCCTGGGCGCGGGGATGAGGTGTACCAGCACAGAACCACAGCGGCCTGGCACCTTGCAAGAGATGATGTGGGGCTTGCCAATCTTGTTCCCCCAGTAGCCTCTGCGCACAGGGACAATGGAGAGCTTGGTCAGGATGATGGCCCCACGGATGGCAGTGGCCACCTCCTTGGAACACTTAACACCCAGACCGACATGACCATTGTAGTCCCCAGTAGCAACAAACGCCTTGAACCTGGTGCGCTGGCCAGCACGGGTCAGCTTCTGCACCGGCATAATCTTCAAAACCTCATCTTTGAGAGAGGCCCCCAGGAAAAAGTCAATGATCTCGGATTCCTTGATGGGCGGAAAGAAGAGATAGATCTCCTCCAGAGATTTAATCAGTATGTCTTTGACCAGGCGGCCCAACGTGGTGACAGGCATCCACTCCTTATCCTCGGCTTTGCCTCCATGAGCTCCACGGACTCGGACCTGGCCCCAGATGCCACTGCCAAAACCTCCATGGAAGCTACCGTGGTTCCCCATCCCAGGGCGCCCGGGGCCTCCGGGCCCCGCTGCTGCACCGGCGTCATCTGCCATTTGGTGTTTTATCGGAGAAGAAGGGGGCACTATTATTTTTGAAGTGTGTTCAATTTGTCAGTTGCTTTCCCTCTGTACGTCTGAAGACTGAGTTGATTCTTTATGCTGTGGAGTATGTTATAGCTAACAGCCAGAGTGAAGCTACAGATAAAGAAAAATTCATATACTTTGAATTCAGTTGGTTTTTTCAAAAAATGAGTAGTCTGCTGTATGCCAAGCACTGCTCTATGCCCTGGAGATGAAAAGACGGACTGGTGGATTGTAGGATAATCAACTAGAATAGGAAATACAGGAAGCAGGAGGAGCAAGTTTTGGAAGAAGATGATGATAAGAAATCAGAGTTAACTCCTATCTTTCAGAGGATTTTGGACATGATAAGTTTTAGGTTGTGTGGTGATATCTAAATTGAGGTGTGTCCAGTATGGTTGGATATAGAAATCTGAAACTAAGTGTTTTGGAGTAGAGATGAACATTCTGAGTCAACAACACAAAGGTGGTAATTGAAACCATTAGATTGGATGACAACACCCTGCAACGAGCTGAGGATGGAACCCTGGAAAAAAACAGTTTACCTTTTTTTTTTTTGAGACAGCATAGGAAAAGTTACTGCATTAATGCAGGGAGGAAGCCCTGCCCTGTGTGTGGGGGCCAGGACCACAAACGGTCACTACACAGGCCAGGGAGGAGCCAGGACCCACCAAGAATCCCTGGAACATGCCTGAGTACTAGCAGTTTTTAACTTTGCTTTCTAAACTTGTTTTTTAAGAGACAAGATTTCCTAGGCTGGAGTACATTGGAGTGATCATAGCTTACTGTAACCTCCAACTCCTGGGCTCAAGTGATCCTCCTGCCTCTGCCTCCCAAGTAGCTGGAACTACAGGTGTGTGCCACCATGTCTGGCTAAATTTATTTTGTGGACATGAGGTCTCATTATGTTGTCCAGGCTGGTCTCAAACTCTTGGCCTCAAGTGATCCTCCTCCTACTTCCCAGAGTGCTGAGATTACAGGTGTGAGCCATCAAAAAACAGTTTTGAAAGACTGAGCGGAAGAAGAGAACCCATAGAGGGAGATAGGGAAGAGGTAAAACAGGAGAACTCGGTGTCACGGGGAATGGAACATGTTTCTTAATTTATCCAGTTGGTTGAAAAAGCTAATTTGGTATTACTGACTCCTTTGGGATAACCACCCCATTGTTACTAGTAGATGTGGTCATTCACAAAATGGCCATTCTTTTTTTTTTTTTTTTTTTAATTTTTTTTGAGACGGAGTCTCTGTCACCCAGAGTGCAGTGGCATAACCTCGGATCACTGCAACCTCCTCCTCCCGGGTTCAAGCTATTCTCCTGCCTCAGCCTCCTGAGTAGCTGGGATTACTGATGCACATCACCATGCCCAGCTAATTTTTATACTTTTAGTAGAGACGGGGTTTCACCATGTGGGTTAGCCTGGCCTCAAACTCCTGACATCATGATCTGCCCGTCTCAGCTTCCCAAAGTGCTGGGATTACAGGCGTAAACCACCATGCCAGGCCACCCCCCTTTCTTTCCCCACTTTTTAACTTAACTTTAAAATGTTCCCCTATATGGCATTTTTCTTTTTAAAAATTTTTAATGATTTTTTATTTTATTAACAGCCCTTTTCTACCCTACATATTTTATAAGTACCTGTAGAAAAACTGGTAGTAGAGTGTGGTGACTCACACCTGTAATCCCAGTACTTTGGGATGCTGAGGCAGGAGGATCACTTGAGCCCAGGAGTCTGTGGCCACACTGGGGAACATAGAGACCCAGTCTCCAGGAAAGCAAAAAAAAATTAGTAGTCATGTGTACTTGTAGTTCCAGCTGTTCTAGAGGCTGAGGTGGGAGGATCACTTTAGCCTGGGAGGTTGAGGCTGCAGTGAACTGTGATTTTTGTCACTGCACTTAAGCCTGGGCTTAAGACCTTGTCTCCGAAAACAAATGCCAGAGCAAGACCTTGTCTCCGAAAACAAAAACCAAAACCCAAAAAACAAAAAAGAATATCTAGCTCTACTTTCTTTGACTCATAAGGGTATTCCACATACAACAGGGGAATAGTAATTCCTGCTGCTGTTATCTTATTTGACTTTTGGAACAGCTTTAAGTAGGGAGAATTTCCCCCCATTGACAAGTGAGGAAGCTAAGGCTTTGGATGATGGAATGTCTTGCTGAAGGGTAGGAAGTTGCTACAGTAAGGTAGTTGCTGAGCCAGAACTGGAATTCAGGCCTGTAATCTAGACGATCTAAGATTCCTCATCTTAAGACTGTGATCTTTCCATTGAACCACTGCCTTTGTAAGATGTTTGCTGGATTCCCTTATCCCCTGAAAGATAGGATTTGACTCTGATTTGTTCTGTTCCCCTTTGCAAATTTTCTTTGTTGTCATGTTAAAGATTTTAAAAGGTCAGAGGTTAGCCTTCAGGGCATCTATGTATTTACTTAGTTACCTTGACAGTTCCTACTGCAGAGCAGGACATTTAAAGGACAAGAAAGGCTTTATTTCTGCCTTGTCTCTCTCCATGTATGCATTCTGATAGCATGGCAAAGATGGAAGTATGTAAGTTTTGGAAGCAGGCCTGAGTTCAAATCTCAATGCGCTGTAATATGGACATGATTTGAGTTGTGACTGAATACAGACTTTTTTTTGAAATGTGAGACATTTGTGAGATAATTGGAAATTTGAACATAATTGAATATCTAATATCAAGCAATCACTTTTTTTTTTAGTATGATGTGGGTAGATTTAAAAAAGGCCTTATCTTTTAGAAATACATAAGTTGGTCTTTTAGTGAAGCAGAACTGGAATATTTCAGCAACCAAGGTAGCTACTTTGCCTTTTTTGCTTCATCTTTTCTTTCTATAGATCAAAGGTTGGCAGGTTGGCAGATTTTTTTTTTTGTAAAAGGCCAGTTAATAAATATTTTAATTTGTACAACTTCATACAGACTCTGTTGCAATGACTTAACTCTGCAGTTCTAATGCAAATGAGCCATTCAGAAACAGTGGTTGTGTCTGCGTTCCAGTGAATCTGTAATTATAAAAAAGGGCAGGGAATAGATTGCACCCACGGACCATGGTTTTCCCATCTCCCTCTAGACTTCTGCAGATGGCTCCAATTACATGTATTTCCCCCTAGCGGACTCCAGGTGGTGCTGTCAGTCCTCAAGTCCACATCACCTAGTGAATTTAGTACTTGCAACTAACTAGCTCTCTTCCAATTCCAGATTCCTAGGGAAAGGACTTCAGGTGTCACTATCCAACTGTCTTGCCTAAAGGGTGGAAATGTGGTGGCTAGCAGTCCTCTCAGCAGGGGCTGTGGGTAGTCTCTCCTGAGAAGAAGGCACAAAGGGTATGGGATGATAGGCAACTCTTAGATAAGAAAGACATGGGGATGGCCTGGGTATGGGCCCCAGGGTGCCTCATAGATCCAGGAAGACCACCTGTTTATTCTGCTTTTATTTCTTATAATCCATATTTTTTAAATTGAGGAACTAATTTTTGACAAATATATTTGTGTATGAACTCTAATAAAAAGCTGACTGTAATGCATGGTTTAAAGTTTAAACCTTGCCGAGCAATAACAATCTCTAGATGTCTGTTGTTTCACTCTAATACTTACTGTGGAATTACACCTAAGTTGTTTTCCCCCCTTTTTTTTATGTGCCTAGGAGATCAGCCATAACCTAGGAGTTTGCTACATTTATCTGAAGCAGTTCAACAAGGTAATTTATAGAAGTGGTGATGGATTTCACTGAGGGTGCACTTGCTGTTACAGTTACATTGCTCATTTTGTATTATCCTTGGTGCTTGCAGAGGTTTTTGGAACTGAAAATTAAAATTATCTTTATACATTTATTTCTGTTTTAATTTTCACTTGTCATTATTCATCTGTTGTTTTCTGCTTTTATAATAAGAACATGGAAAGTTCTAGAAATAGGAGAGAATGGCAGTTTTTCTCTTTCTTCTTTTTCTCTACCTCCAGTTTAATTTCCTAGTATAGAAACAAATGCTTAATAAAACATAAATATCAAAAAGTGGACCCTAAGTCTTAAAGGTGTAATCATGAGCATGTGAGTGATCTAATATCCTTACAGCAACTGATTTTAGTTTTTAGGGTCATTGAAAATAAATTTTAAGTGGATCTGATTTCTGAGTTTTAAAAGTTTTTAGTTATTTTCCATGATGAGAATTTATATTTCATTGTGATTAAGCTATAGGCTCCTATATCAGAGAAAACAATTAGAGCTTACCTCGGTACTCAGGTAAGGAAAAGTATATATCGTAATTGAGGAATAGACAGAATGTCTGAGAGCTCTAAAACTTAGTGATGGGAGCGTTGGGTAGTTTCCTTCATAGAGCTCACACTTAGTGATTGTGAAGTTTTATTCTCCTTTCTCCAGTGCCACCAGGACTGAGAATCTGAATTAGTACCCATCTGACAATGTTTAGTTTGTATCAATTTGCAGACTGGGATAACATAATCTATCCCACACTGGTGTAAAAAAAAATGCACATTAGCAATTGGGTTGTAAAAGTAACTTTTCTCCTGAGATAATAAACAATATATGTACATAAAATATATTTGGTGGGTCCCTTAGGTTTTGTAGATGGATCTACAGTTTTATATACTTGATTAGGAGATTTTTCTCTTCACAGACAATTTCAGACATTCATATTTCTATTCACAGCATTATTCTGAGTCAGGGGAAAAGAAGGATTAGTCTTTGGTTGGACCTGTACTGAGAAGAAATAGATTTTACTGTATAGCTAACAGGCTAGGCAAATACAATACTTACATTTATATAAATACTTGTTGTATCATTGAATGACAGAACACCTTTTTGTTTACTAGAAGGTAAACTCCTCCAGAGCAAGGAGTTGATTTTATTAATTCAAATATATTTAGCACCCAGAACAGCAAGTATTCAATGAATACTTGTTGGGTGAATAAATGAGAACCATCTATTTATTCATTTATCATCACATTGGTGGGGGAATGGGGGCCCACCGTAGAGAAATTTGTGCATTTGGTCACTGTTACAGCTGGGATTTAGTTTAGTGTAGTACTCTACATGTACTATGATGTTTCTTTTGACTTATGAAGTATGAGTCGTAGGTATGAATATCAAGCAGTAAACATTCAGAAAGATTAATCATCTTGCATAAATTCTTCCAAGTAGCTTCAGAAGCAGATATCCCATGTTGCCAGCTGTCTTTTCAACAAGGACAGTTTTGGTATGTTTTGGTCTTTGGGTAGTGGGGGCTCTTTGCTGAAATGTGATGTTCCTATGTCAGTACAGCAGCAACTGTCTTTACATTAGCCATATCAAGTTATAGTTCTTTCAGTGGTAGTGATTTGGTTTTCTTTGCTTTGTCAAACTTGTCAGGCACAAGACCAGTTACACAATGCCCTGAATCTTAATAGGCATGATCTGACTTATATAATGCTGGGGAAGATCCACCTGCTGGAGGGAGACTTGGACAAGGCCATTGAAATCTACAAGAAAGCAGTGGAGTAAGTGTAACTGTTTCCTTTAGAACAATGAGAAACTAATATGTTTGATTAATTACTTATTGTATGAGTTAAAGGTGAAGCTGAGGTTTAAGTTAAGAGCTCCTGATGGCTTCAGTAAGGTAGACTGTGTTTCTTTCTCACCTCTCAGGATGGCTGCTGCTTTAGGTTAGCTGGGCAGCTCTATTCTACAAGGTGAGCCAGGGATCCAGGGTTCTTCCTTATTAACTCACCATTCCTTAGGTTTTTGTCTTTATCTGCAATGTTTGATGCTGAATGTAACATCCACATCCAGGCTGTGGTAGGAGATGGTATGGGAAGCTAAGTATGGAATAAGCATCTGGCAATAATTTTATATTTCTTTTTGAGACAGGCTTTACTCTGTCACTCAGGCAGCTCACTGCAGCCTCAACCTCCTGGGCTCCAGCGATCTTCTCACTTTAGCCTCCCAAGTAGTTGGGACTACAGGCATGTGCCACATGCCCAGCTAATTTTTTTTTTTTTTTTTTTTGAGATGGAGTCTTGCTCTGTTGCCAGGCTGGAGTGCAGTGGCATGATTTTGACTCACTGCAACCTTCACCTCCCGAGTTCAAGTGATTCTCCTGCCTTAGCCTCCCAAGTAGCTGGGATCATAGGTGCGTACCACCGTGTCCAGCTAATTTTGTATTTTTAGTGTGCACCACCATGTCCAGCTAATTTTTGTATTTTTAGTAGAGACGGGGTTTTACCATGTTGGCCAGGATAGTCTCGATCTCTTGACCTTATGATCTGCCTGCCTCGGCCTCCCAAAGTGCTGGGATTAAAGGAGCGAGCCACCACCATGCCCGGCCTATCCAGCTAATTTTCAAAAACGTTTTTGTGTTGACAAGGCCTCGCTATGTTGTCCAGACTGGTCTTAAACTTCTTAGCTCAAGCAATCCTCTTGCCTCACCTTTCCAAAGTGCTGGGATTACAGGTGTGAGCCACTGCACCTGGGCTTGGTAATAAATTTCAAATGACCCAGAAATTGCACACATCGCTCCTGCTTACATTCCATGGTTCAAAACTACGTGAGAGTTGCAAGAGAAGTAGGCAGATGCACACTCAGGAAGAAGGAAATAACAGATTTAGGAGTTGGCTGACAGTCTGGCATTTTGGTATCATATGTTAGCAACAGATCTTCTGTTTTCAGAGATATTATTAGGGACAGAAATCTGATTCAGTAAAAAAACATAAGAAATGTTTGGCCTTTATTAGCATGAGACCAGTATCTTTTTTTTTTAAACATCACTAGGGTAATACAGACTTCCCTTGATAATGGAACTGATTGGCTTTCCCATGATGGTGTTTCATATTTTCTCTCTAGAAACACATGCTTTCTTTTCTGTTTAGGGTCTTGTCTTGTTCTTTCTTTCCTTTCTCCTTCCTTCCTCCCTGCCTCTCTTTCTTCCCTCTCTCCCTCCCTCCCTCTCTTTCTTTTCTTTCCTTCATTTCCTCCCTCCCTCCTTTCGTTCCTTTCTTTCATCAGAATCTCACTCTGTCACCCAGGCCTGAGTGCAGTGGTGTGATCTTGGCTCACTGCAGCCTCTGCCTCCCCAGGTTCAAGTGATTCTTATGCCTCAGCCTCCTGAGTAGCTGGGACTAGAGGAGTGCGCTGCCACACCTGGCTTATACTTGTATTTTAGCAGAGACGGTGTTTTACCATGTTGGCCAGATTGGTCTTGAACTCCTGGACTCAAGTGATCTGCCTCCCTTGGCCTCCCACCGTGCTGGGATTGCAGGCTTGAGCCACTGCGCCTGGCCTTGTGTTGTTTCTTTTAAATGGGACAGCTGTAGCAAAATGCTTTGTCTCATTTGTTTGGTCACTTAACAGAATGTCTGGTCCATGGTTCAAGATTTATTATTCCTAATAATTAGATTCTGAACTAAACTTAGATTGCTATTAATTTATTATCTTTGTCTTCTACCATGGTAGTAAATTTTCTGGTTATGTCAATGACAACACTGCTTTCTGAATTTTCTTCAACCACATTTTGTGTCTAAAAAGACAGAAAAATCACTTGGTTTGTTAAGCTACGGAAGCAACTTTTGTCATCAAGAAGCTGTATATATGGGCAAGTAGTAAGGAGCATGTAACATGTTAAGTGCCTCTGTGATGCTAGGTAGTAGCCCTGACCCCTGACCCCTGCCTTCTAGAGGTTGGCTCTTTGAGATTAGGATACATAAATCCCAAGGGGACATTCTTCCAGTAACCGATCAAGGACTTCAGTCACTAAATTTCCCAAGAGAGAAATGTGGACAGCTAAAATTTGAAGCCTTACTGAGAAGATAGAGGCCATTGTTCATGACATACAGCTTTGAATGGTCATGTTGTAGTGGGGGACTGATAGGCTAGAATTATAGAAGTTACCTGGCTTTGGGGAGGGAAGTGATCAAAATGGATGTTTATTATGGCAAAAAGTGAAAGGCAGATTCCCAGTTGAATTGAGAAAGCTGTTTGGTCAGCTCGGGCCTTCCCTGGCTGGGGCTCTGCATCTTCTGGTTCAGGTCTCCCTAGAGGTAACCAGTGTCCTGTATTGTTCCTTAGAAGCATGAGACATTGTTCATAGCCCTTTGGTGTTTTACTGTTGGAGTTGTCTGATGATCCTATAATTAGATCATCCCAACTCAGTGTTGCTTTGGTTTTGTGACAAAGACATATTAGTGAGGGATTGAGCAGGCAGATCATATTTTGCTTAGATCAGCATTTACTTCCAAAGGTCAGGAGCACCTTCTTTCCTAGGATTGGTATGTATCTTCCTTCTTTTTTGTTTGGCTACTTAGTATAGCTTTTTGTTTAAGTGGAGAGAAGAGCATTATAGGAGCCTTGGGATCCAAAATTACATAGAAAATTATGCTGCCTGGCATTGTGAACACAATGAGAATAGAAAAAAAATCCCACAAGAGAGGACTGGTGAAACTATGTATAAGTTCTAGACTGACTTGGTTTATAAAGCATTGTTCTTTAATTTTATTAGTGTGACCAAGACAGTCATGCAAAATATTCTTTCTTAGGACTTTTACTCTAAGAAAGGAGTCTGAATTCTAAGCCCCATTTCTTGCTGAGCAGTTCTCCCTATTGCCAGGGTTGAGATGATCTACTTTTGATGGCAGTTCCCAAAGTGTCTTCAGGGATTTCCACGGGGAGCAAGAGGTTCAGTGGGGCCTGTCAAGTATTACACAAGGATACATTACCATGCTTGTGTCTCCGTGATTCTCATCCACATCTTGTTTCCCTCTGAGCATCTCTATGTTGCAGGTTCTCACCAGAAAATACAGAACTTCTTACAACTTTAGGATTACTCTATTTACAGGTAATGAAAATTCTTGACTCATTCATGCATTGATGTTAGAAATGCTTTTGGGTTTGTGTGTCTGGTGGTTTTCTTGCATTTTGATATTTATCTTACTAAAGGTCAAAGTACATGAACTACACTCTCTATTTGATAGTCTTTGTTAAAGGAATTAATTTTCTGCTTTTAAATTGGAAGTAATTCTATTTTACCTTAGTGCAATTATAATTCTTATCTTGGCTGGGCGTGGTGTCTCATGCCTGTAATCCCAGCACTTTGGGAGGCTGGTGGATCACTTGAGCCCTGGAGTTAGAGACCAGTCTTGGCAACATAGGGAGACCCTGTCTCCACAAAAAATACAAAAATTAGCCAGGCATGAATGATGACATGTGACTGTAATCCCAGCTACTTGGGAGGCTGAAATGGGAGGATTGCTTGAATTTGGGAGGCAGAGGTTGCAGTGAGCTGAGCCACTGTACTCCAGCTTGGGTGACACAGCCAGACCCCCATCTCAAAAAAAAAAAAAAATCCTTATGTAACGTGGGAAAGAGCATATATCATAAATAACTCTGGTGTTGGGGGGTTGTTACTTTGTTGTAAGGAGAGAAACTGATACAAGTGAGCACTTCTTAGGGCTTTGGGGCAAAGCCATTTCCCAGCCAGGGCCTTATTGGAAAGAGAGAAGGCAAAACATACTTAATCTAGAATAAGAAGTCTTCTGTCCCCTCCACATTCCTGAATGTGAATGGAATTCTTGTAGCTTAATGGATTCTCTGGCTGAGGATTCAGGGCCCAGGTATCCAAGGGGCCTTTCCCCCATCTCCAACATACACATTTGCCAAGTTCCTTGTTGAGCTGATTCTGCCTCCAGCCCTGCCTCTATGGTGGCTTTTATGTCGATTTTGTTTTTCCTTAAAAGGAATCAGGAGCTTAACCCTGGGTCTTCCTGGGCTTTGGCTTGGGAGGTTTGCCCCACGGGAGATGAGGATACCCAGCTCATTTTCTGGAGGCATTAATGTGGAACATTACTAGTGTGGCAGAGATGGTTCCTATCAAATAGATACTTTGACCTTATCAGGGGACGAATTAACAAAAACAGAAGGAAAACCATGACTGTGGGGATATTTAGTTTTCTTTATTTATTATCTGGTAACTGTAGCTGCCTTTTTTTTTTTTTTTTTGGTCAAGAGAACTCAAAAACACCAGGCCATTTCTGTTCTGGGTGTAGTTGACCAGACTCTTTAACTGCCATCTCCTTGCTGATATAAATTGTCGTTTGTTTTTTTTCCAAGCTCGGCATTTACCAGAAGGCATTTGAACATCTTGGCAATGCACTGACTTATGACCCTACCAACTACAAGGTATTGCAGGCTGTGAAGGCTGTGGCCTTCATATAGGTGGTCCCATTGCTCCTAGAGGTGATCTGACCCTGGAAAGCAAAGGAATAGCTTCTTCAATTTGAATACCTGAGAAATAGAATAAAATATAAATAAAAGGTGCTCTTCTTATTTGAAAATATTGTCAAGTATGCTCAACTTCTAAAAGTGCACATTTGTTATAACAGATGTGTAAACCCTGCAGAAAGCAAAATCATAGTGCTAGTAAAGCTTAGGTGTTAATGTAGGAAATCAGCAATGCCTCCACAACTATTGTAAAAAATAAATCTGCTGGGCCTGTTGGCTTATGCCTATAATCCCAACACTTTGGAATGCTGAGGCAGGAGGATTACTTGAGGCCAGGAGTTCAAGACCAGGCTGGGCAACATAGTGAGACCCCCCCATCTCTACAAAAAAGATTATTAACTAGGCACACACCTGTAGTCCTAGCTATTCGGAAGGTAGAATAGGGAAGATCACTTGAGCCCAGGAGTTTGAGGCTACAGTGGGCTGTGATGGCACCACTGTACTCCAGCCTGGGTCAGAGTGAGACCCTGTCTCTAAAAAGAAATAATAATGATGTTGAAATGACTTCTGGAGTCCTAATGATTTGATACTACACTACAACGTTTGTCTCGATGTGACTAGGAATGAGAAGGGATAGCATCAAATAGATGAATATCATTGAGTAGATACAGCAAGACAAGCTGTTCATGAAGGATACAAACTGAATTCTGATTTAGGAAGTCATATTAGCTTGTCAGCTCCCCATCTTGATACTTTTCCTTAGAGAAATGAAAGGACTGGTGGGCTTGTGAAGCCTAAAGCTGACTCACCCTCTATTGTATGGTAGAAAGAAATGTACCTTAAGTAGTCATGTATGGGTGTATTTCAGGTGTCTAGAACACTTGATGTACCAATAAGGGCTGCAGAGAACAGATTAGTGGAATTTTTTACTTACAGGACCCTGGTATTCATTCTGAAATACTGACTTTCACGGCTAGAAGTAGGAAACAAACAGGTAAAGCGAGTAACATTTTATCTTTTTTTTTTTGAGATGGAGTCTCACTCTGTCACCCAGGCTGGAGTGCAATGGCGTAGTCTCAGCTCTCTGCACTCTCTGCCTCCCAGGTTCAAGCAATTCTCCTGCCTCAGGCTCTCGAGTAGCTGGGACTGTAGGTGTGTGCCACTAAACCCAGCTAATTTTTGTATTTTTAGTAGAGATGCGGTTTCACTGTGTTGGCCAGGCTGGTCTTGAATTCCTGACCTCGTGATCTGCTTGCCTTGGCCTCCCAAAGTGCTGGGGTTACAGGCATGAGACACTGCGCCTCGCTTTTGTGTGTGTGTGTGCTGTGCCAAAGGGAGCCATAGTGTAGGGTACAAGAACATTTCTCAGGAACATTTGTCCCAGTACCTTGGATACATTATTTATGTCCCTGGAAGAAATATTTCAGTCCCATCTGTGCTGATAGGCCTGCTGAGTGTCTGTAGACTCAGGAAGGCTGCCTCACTGTTATAGCCTTTTGGGAATGACTGAATTATTTTCTATGTGCCATGTTTTTAGGCCATCTTGGCAGCAGGCAGCATGATGCAGACCCATGGGGACTTTGATGTTGCCCTCACCAAATACAGAGTTGTGGCTTATGCTGTCCCAGAAAGTCCTCCACTCTGGAATAACATTGGAATGTGTTTCTTTGGCAAGAAGAAGTATGTGGCGGTGAGTGTCCCTCATGTTCTTTGTTTGCATTCATACATGTGGTTATTGGGTCTGCTTAGCTTGTTCCCCTCCCTCATTGAGTGCTTCTTCTCTCCCATAGGCCATCAGCTGCCTGAAACGAGCCAACTACTTGGCACCCTTCGATTGGAAGATTCTGTATAATTTGGGCCTTGTCCATTTGACCATGCAGCAGTATGCATCAGCTTTTCATTTTCTCAGTGCGGCCATCAACTTCCAGCCAAAGATGGGGGAGCTCTACATGCTCTTGGCAGGTAAGAAACATTTATATGGAAAAGTCTGCCATCTGTACTGAGGGAAAAATGGATTAGAATCTTAGGAGATCAGTGGCTGTTTCATAGGAGCCATTCCCTTGGAGAGCATATATGAATCTGGATTACTGTCCTGGAGCTTAAAGAAATAGAAAAAGATGACAAAGGAACTTGGTTGTTTCTAACTTGGGGCAGTTTCACTCAGAGAACAACAGGTTAAATAAGGATCATCCCTTGTTCACCTTTTACCAATTTTTTCCTCTTGCCTTGACAATTCATTTATGTATACATTGAATCCAACTAAGTTCCGGAGAGCAAGTGTTAAGAGCTTGGGTTTTAGGTGGGGACCCTGCTATTTATTATATGTACCTAGGGCTGGTGTGAGGATTGCATGATTAAACACTCAATGAATAATAGTGGTTTTGTTGAAATACTGAGTTTTGAAAACTGTTGGTTTTATTGTGGTTATATAACTGATCTATTATTATCAGGATTGTTGTTACTATAATTGGCCCCTAGGCGGTAGTTCCAAGTCAAGCAACCTTGTATTGAAATGCTTATCTCTTCTGAGCATGTAATACAGAATGCTCTTCTCTTCCTGAAACTCCATTTTATGCCATGCAAATACTAAAATTTATCAGATGTTAGAATTAATCACTTTAAAAACTATGCACAACCATTTAAAGTACTGACTAAATAGTCTTCCTAATAGCCTTCCAGTCCCATTTACTTACTAATGTAAAACCCAGAGCAGATTTCCAAATCCTCATTTGGCAGTGGTCTTCCAGTGGCTTTTTATTCCTTATTGTAGGGTTTTTATTTATAAGAGAAAGCTTTCAAAAGCAGTTGAGTCATAGTTATTTGAGGGTTGCCTGAATAGAATTTTTTTTTTTTAAAACATAGGTTTTATTATTTACTCAGATATGGTATGGGCAACAGATCAGAAGACAACTGCCATTGGAAAGACAGTCTGTTACAATTCCTGAAGAGGAGGGGATGCCACAGGATGCAGGGCCACACGGGGAAGCATGGGGTCAATTAGGAGGTGGAGGGAGCAAGGGGTATGAGAAGAAATGCCCTCCCTGGGGCAAGACCGATAAAGCAGGCTAAGCAGATTGAGGATTGGTCAGTTTGAATAATTTCAGTGGGCTCTGGGTTATAGGGCTGTCTCTAGGTGTCTAGTACCTGACCCTTGGTGACTAAGACTAGGGAATATCGGCCCAGTGTCAGAGCCCAGTAAAGGAGGCAGTTAAGAATATGGACCCTGTATTGGTTGGTCTGCATACAGAGGGCAGTCTTGTAGGGATTATATCTAGGAATAAACTAACCCTGGGAGGGGTAGTCTCCATAGTGTCACTAAGGCCTCAGATGTCAAAACATCGGGATAAAAAGGCAAAGGAGGGTGTGGTGGCACACATCTGGAGTCCTGCCTACTTGAGGGGCTAAAGCAGGAAGTTTGCTTGAGCCCAGGAGTTGGGAGACTAGCCTGGGCAACACAGACTCCATCTCTCTCTTTTTAAAATTTTGTTTTAGGTTCAGGGGTACATGTGCATTTTGTTATATAGGCACATGTGTCATTGGGGTTTGTTGTACAGATTATTTCATCACCCAGGTACTAAGCCTAGTGCTCAATAGTTTTTTTTTCTGGCCCCCCCACCCCGCTACCCTCCACCCTCCCCTCTACCTCAAATAAGCTCCATCCATTGTCTGCAGTTTCCCTCTATATCTCCATGTGTGTTCATCATTTAGCTCCTACTTATAGTGAGAACATACAGTATTTGGTTTTCTGTCCTGCATTAGTTTGCTAAGGATGTTGGCCTCCAGTTCCATCTATGTTGCTGCAAAGGACATGATCTTGTTCTTTGGTATGACTGTAGTATTCCATGGTGTATATTTACATTTTGTTTATCCAGTGTACTATTAATGGGCATTTAGGTTGATTTAATGTGCTATCATAGTGCTACAGTGCACACACATGCATGTGTCTTTATGGTGGAACAATGTATATTCTTTTGGACATACTCCCAGTAATGGGATTGCTGTGTCTAATGGTAGTTCTGTTTTTAGCTCTTTGGGGAATTGCCACACTGCTTTTCACAGTGGTTGAACTAATTTACACTCCCATCAACAGTGTATAAGCATTCCCTTTTCTCCGCAGCCTCGCCAGCATCTGTTATATTTTGAGTTTTTAATAAGTCATTCTGACTGGTGTGAGATGGTGTCTTATTGTGGTTTTGATTTGCATTTCTCTAATCGGCGACACTGAGCTTTTTTCATATACTTGTTGGCTGCATGTATGTCGTCTTTTCAAAATTGTTTATGTCCTTTGCCCACTTAAATAAGGTTGTGTTTTTCTTGCAAATTTGCTCAAGTTCCTTATAGATCCTGGATATTAGACCTGCATGGTTTGCAAATGTTTTCTCCTGTTTTGTAGGTTGTCTGTTTACTATGTTAATAGTTTCTTTTGGATAGCTGGATTCTAATGGGACATAGAAATGTAAACAGCCATGAAGTAAGGCATAACAGCAATGCTAACTTTACAAAGTAGAGATGGCATTCACACTGGACTTTGAACAGCTAGAATGGAATAGCACAGAATGGCTGAGGAGCCACTGTGAACCAAGGCATGCAGCCATGAAACTGCAGTGTCCCTTGCTGTTAGTGGGCGATAATATTAGAGAATATGATGGGAGATGAGTCAGGAAAGATATTCTGGGGTCAGATTATGGATGTCATGAGTACAGTGCAGGGACTTTACCACAGAGGCCATGTTTGTCCCGCTGAATTCCTAGATCTCTTCTTAGGTGCCTGGTAGGAGTGAGTGCATAGCTCGTGAGGTGGTGGAATAGGCATGGCTTCCAGAGCAGCTGTTTCCATTTTATATATTAGGTGTCAAGGAAATACTGATTTTAAAATGTGGGGAGAGTGTTTTATTGCTAAATAAAAACTTAAAGATCATGGTTGTAGATACAGGGAGCCAGTGAGGATTCCTAAGTAGGATGGACACATGGTTAATTTGTAAGTCAGTGAGATACCTGGTGGCACTGTGGAAACTGGAATGGAGGCAGGTGGGGACATTGGCCCTGGGGGATAAATGGAAAGCCTGGGACTACTTGGGCCTGAACAAGGGCAGTGTCGGAAAAGAAACTGCAAAAAAAAGGATGTACAGAACTTGGCAACTGATGGACTGTAGAAAGGATCGTTGAAGATAGCATCAGGTATCTAAGCTGACCGATTTAGTAATCCCCGGTGCCATGAGCTGAGAGGGTGAAAAGTTTACTTTGGGGGCAGTCTTAATGTTCCTTTTGTTTTCTAAGTTGAGCTCTCCAGCTGCAGTGCTTTCTTTGTTGCAGTGGCCCTGACCAATCTGGAAGATATAGAGAATGCCAAGAGAGCCTATGCAGAAGCCGTCCACCTGGATAAGTAAGTGCTTTGTTTAGAATGGTACTGGGGGGGTTGGACTCTCCAAAGGCATGAAGTGGTGCCATAGCATTGGTGCTGAGTTAGCGCAGCTGTTCCTCTATGGCAGTACACAGCAGGCCTCAGTATGGAAGGATGTGGCTCCTAAGTACGTGGTGGCTCAGTAGGATTTGACACTGAGAAAATGTTTCCAGTCCCAAACTGAGTAATCAGGAGGCCAGAGGAAGTCAGGGCTGGCAGTGGGCTTGGGTTGCGGATAACTATGGGCTAGCTGGAATATCAGTGGGACTCTGGGCTGTTTAATTGAAGATCAACTTGACTCTTCCAGGATTTTACTCCACTGGCATCTGCTAGACAGCAGGGTAGAGATCCCTTTTTCAACCCTGACCTAGGTCATCTCTTGAGGGCTGAGATGTCAGACTTGGTCCTAATACCAGCTTTGCTCATTAGGCCATTAATTCCTTGATTCTTCTCCACAGGTCTGCTTAGCATGTATGTTCCTACCTTGCTGCATAATGGAGAAATCTCTACTTAACCAGTTTTGTTTTGTTTTTGTGTAATGAGAAGGATCTCTAAATGACCATGTGTTGCAGAGCCTGCCGTTCCATAGAATCCCTGTCTGTCTGCCACAGGTGTAACCCTTTAGTAAACCTGAACTATGCTGTGCTGCTATACAACCAGGGCGAGAAGAGGAGCGCTCTGGCCCAATATCAGGAGATGGAGAAGAAAGTCAACCTACTCAAGGACAGTAGCTCTCTGGAATTTGACTCTGAGGTATGTCTTTTATTAGATCCCAAGAGTCTTAAGTAAGCTCTCAGGAGACTTAAGCCCAAATAATCCAAATCTAACATATTACACATTCATGGCTCTTCTGGCTGTGATGTTCCTGGCAGCATGAGTTCATCAATAACAGCCTGAGAAAAACTTTCCTAGAATAATAAAGGAAATTCAGGCTTACTGAGTTATCTGTTACTGCTAATCCAACTCATCAAAGTTGAGGTCTGTGTCTAGCTGTAGCTTCCTCCTATTTCACTTCTTGTAGGAAATACCGTTTAGCCCAGTAATACACCAGGCTTGAATTTTTGGGTTTTGAGATCCTGTGTGAACCACCCTGTCATCCATTAAAGGCAATCTATATTCTCTGCTGTTTGATAAGTACTTCCTGCCTCAACTTCTAGTACAAGGAGACACTATTTCAGCTAAAACCCAGGATGGAAGACCAGAGAAGTGGGTTGGCTTGTCTCTAACAGTCATGCTTTTGATTCTTTTACTTCTTTTGCGGGCACAAGATGGTGGAGATGGCTCAGAAGTTAGGAACTGCTCTTCAGGTTGGGGAGGCACTGGTCTGGACTAAACCAGTTAAAGATCGCAAATCAAAGCACCAGACCACTTCAGCCAGCAAACCTGCCAGTTTCCAGCAACCTCTGGGCTCTAATCAAGCTCTAGGACAGGCAATGTCTTCAGCAGCTGCATACAGGACGCTCCCCTCAGGTAGGATCATACAGAGCTCCATGAAGTCCTAGCAGGTACAAGCCACATGTGTCAGCAATGAGATTATAGCTTTCAGTGAGGTACTCTTCAGACTCATAACATGTCCAATTTTGTTTTGGCCACAGGGTGGCCAAATTGGCACTTGTTTCCTTAAGGTGAGCTATGTAGTAGGTAACAGCTACTCAGACTTGGTTGGATGGTCAATACACTGGTCTATTCAATTTTAGCAATATGTTACTAAGTGTATCCTGTTACAGTGTTTAATTTTTACTGCTTTATCAGAAGTTGACATGTAGGTAATTAAAGATTTCTTTCAGTCAACAGTCAAGTTTGACTCACTGAAGGCAAACTTCACTGTTGCTTTCTCAGTTGTAGTCTTCCCTCATAACTAATGGGTCAGTCCCACTAGTTCCAGAAAATATGAGGTTTCCTCTTGAACTCTTAACAGCAAAAAATGATTTCTTCTGAAATTGTGGAACTGAGGATTCAAGTTTTTATTTTGTTACTAGGTGCTGGAGGAACATCCCAATTCACAAAGCCACCATCTCTTCCTCTGGAGCCAGAGCCTGCCGTGGACTCAAGTCCATCTGAAACATCCGAACAAATAGAGAAATAAGAATAGAATGACCCCAAAGCAGTGTTTTTTTGGGTGAGGATAATGCTGGATTAGGAAAGGTGACATGACACAGGGTGAGTGGCAGCCACCACAGAATTAAAACACAGAACACAGTGTGTTTATGATCACAAGGAGCCAGCAGGTGAGCCTAAGGTCCTTCCTCCCTACCTGGTACTAGCATTTGAGGTTGGAAACCCTCCATTGCCCCATAAGCCAGGAAACAGGGAAAAGATAACATAGTTCAAGAACTGGAAACAAGAGGCTGTATGTAGTTCTAAGTAAGGTGTATGATGCTGTTTGCTTTCAAAAAGGACATTTATCCCCTTCCTTAGGTCAAGGAACAGCTGGGACAGAACTCCACTGAGTAGACCTGGGATGACAAAACCTTGGGTTTAACTGGGACGATCCTCAGGTTGTGGGGTTTATTAGTCCCTAAGGCAAACACAAATACTGTATTAATAATCCAACTTTAATAGCATAAATTTAAAAGAAAAAATAAAAGCTCTGTAAGTTGACGCCCAGCCTGGTGAGTATCACAGCTGCCTTTGCCCAAAGGGAATCCAGAACAAGTCCCTCCCTGTATTTTGTTTTTGAGAGAAGTCAGTCTAGAAGCCAGATCCTATCAGTATCATGAGGAGCAGCCTAGGGCTTGTCTGGCTCAGCACCAAGGATTCTAAGAGTTTCTTAGATGAGTAATCGTTACTGAAGACAGTCAGTGATAACCACTGACCAGATGCTATCAACATACTATATGTCCTTTTTAAAATAAAGATTATGTATCTTTCCTTTGGGGAAAATTGTTACTCAGGTATAAAAACAAGAGATTACAATAAAAACTTAAAATAACCTATGATCACAGTCTTCCCTGTTTCTAAGCCTATTTTGAAATTGAAGTTGGAACCTTAAGGCCAAGTTCCTGCTTGGTACAGGCATGGCCTCTGCAACAGCCCTGATGCTGCAGCGTTGATGTAGAGGTAAGCCAGCAATTTGCTTACTGAGGGCCAGTCCCCATTTTGCACTGAAAGTGCCCTTTAATCACCATAATTTAAAGATAGAAAACTGACCTACTGCCAAACCAAACTACGTTATTTTTATTACACGGTCTGTTTTGACATTGAAGCAGCAGCTAGAACTGAGCAAGAGCCCCTTCATTTCTTGTATCTCAAAAAGTATCAGAAGTGATGCCCTTGTCATTCAGCTGGTAGTATGTGGCAAACCTGGATTTGTACCCTGAACACTTGAGAACACTTGTATTAGCATGGAGTCTAGTGTATTAGAATGAAATGGCTTATGAAACTGAAAAGGTCTTAGTGAAAAATGAGATGGAGAGGAGGAGCAATTTAGGAGCTAAAATCAACAGGAATTGGGGATTGACTGGATGTGGCAGGTTAATAGACTGTGGGTTGGGTACCCATTTTCGGGGCTTAGATAACCAGAGAGAGTAAAGGAATATTGGTTGAGGGTTGTCGAATCTAGTTTGAGATGTTTAAGATATCCAAATGATGATATCCATCAGACACCTGAATAGCTGGATTTCAGGAGTGAAACCTGGTTTGAAGATGATAAAGATTCAGGAGTAGGCCAGGTATGGTGGCTCACACGTGTAATCCCAGCACTTTGGGAAGCCAAGGCCAGAGGATCACTTGAACCTAGGAGGCTGAGATCTGCCTGGGTAAGATGGCTCAGACCTCATGTCTCGGAAAAAAGGTAAAAAGTTAGGTGTGGTGGTATGTACCTGTATTTTCAGCTGTTTGGGAGACTCAAACAGCTTGATCACTTGAGCCTAGGAATTTGAGGTGGCAGTGAGCTATGATCATGGCACCGTACTCCCGCCTATGAAGGAAAGCAAGACCCCCATCTCAAAAAAAAAAATTTTTTTTTTAAGGAGACTCGGGAGTAATTTAGATTTTTGGGGATCATCAAAACCATAGATTTGAAAGGAGTCATCCACGGAAAGCTAGGAATAAGTCAACAGGCAACCAAAGAAGGAAAATAAGTATTTAAAGGGAGAAGCAGAAAAGCCCACAAAAAAGAAGCATAGGACACAAGAGAAAAACCAGGAGAGTAGTACTATGGGAAGCCAAGGAAGACAGATTTGGGAAGGGAATGGTCAGCCTCATTAAACCCTTCCAACAGAGAGGTACTGTTATCCTCATTTTATAGAGGAGAAAGCTGAAGTTAGGAGAGGCAAAACAAATTTTCCAAGGTAAGTGGCAGGACCAGGATTTAAATTTAGGTCTGGATGAAAGCTCTTGCTCTTTACCATCAATAATCAAGCAGTGATGTACTTTTGATAAAGACTTGAAGACTGAATGAGTAGATACTGGACTATTATTTCAAAAAGCTTTGATGTAGAAGCAAGAGAAGTTTTTCAGAGGACAGAACCATATTCATTACTCTGATCTCAGAAACTTTTAGTATTTGGGGAGAGAAGGGTAAAAAGGTGGTCTTTTTTCTTTAAGTATAGCATGGTGGAACTGAGAGAACAGAAGAGCAGGGCTTTTGACTTTTTCCACACTCCTTGGGGGCTAGATTGTGCTTTGCTTCCAGGAGGCAGGAGAATTGCTTTAACCCGGGAGGTGGAGGTTGCAGTGAGCTGAGATCATGCCATTGCACTCCAGCCTAGGTGACACAGTAAGACTCTGTCTTAAAAAAAAAAAAAAAATCTAAGCCCAAATTAAACTCTACTAGGGTGTGTAGGGCTAGTTCTTTTGGGCATGTAAATTTGCAATTTCTCATTCACTCTGGTGAGGTAGGAGCTATTCTAATTTCTAGTATGGGGGTTGGTTGCTCATGTCATCAGAATGTTTAACAGAATTAGGAAAATGAAACATAATCATAGCTATGGATGTGGTTTTAGATTATTGAAAAAGAGAGGCAGGAAAGTAGAAGCATGAACTAGTAATGAGAAAAAAGTACCCTTCTTGCTGAATAATATTCGACAAAACTGTGCATTCCAAAGACAGTAAACTTTGGAGTATGTTACTACGATGATTATTTTGTTTTCAAGGAAAGATCACTATTGTCTGATAATGGCTGAGTAGCTCATGTTGGACCAGTCCTTCCACAAATAACAAATGTAATACAAGTGGGGGTAAATATAAAATACTCTCTTGGTTTGACTTTTAAAAAATACATATGATTGTTCAAAGAAAAAAAAAAATCACAGTGTATTGTGAGGCTGAACATAAAGGTAACATAACAACTATAAAGCATATATGGTTGCAACATTTTGATACTGTATATAGCGGGACACAAAACTAATGCTAAGTAGTTTGTGAAAAGTTGAGCATGGTCCTAACCAGAGCAATCAGACAAGAGAAAGAAAGGGCATCTAGATCGGTAAAGAGGAAGTCAAACTGTTGTTTGCTGTTGACATGATTGTATACCTAGAAAACCCTAACGACTTCCAAAAAGCTCCTAGAACTGGTAAATGAATTCAGCGAAGTTTTGGGATACAAAATTAATATACATAAATCAGGAGCCCTGCTACACACCAACAGCAACCAAGCCAACAGCAACCAAGATGAGAAATCAAGAACCCAACCCCTTTTATAATAGCTGCAAAATAACAAAAGAAAAACAACAATTGAGGAATATACTGAACTAAGGAGGTGAAAGACCTCTAAAATGAAAATAACAAAACACTGCTAAAAGAAATCATAGATGATAAACAAATGGAAACACATCTCATGCTCACAGATGGGTAGAATCAATATTGTGAAAATTACCATACTACCAAAAGCAATCTAGGAATTCAAGGCAATTCCCATCAAAATACCAATATCATTCTTCACAGAATTAGAAAAAAACCATCCTAAAATTCATAGGGAACCAAAAAAGAGCCTGCATAGCCAAAGCAAGACTAAATAAAAAAAACAAATATGGAAGCATCATGTTACCTGACTGAACTATATAACAAGGCCATCGTCACCAAAACAGTACTGGTATAAAATCAGGCATGTAGACCAATGGAACAGAATAGAGAACTCATAAATAAAACCAAATACTTAAAATCAACTGATATTCGGCAAAGCAAACACTAATAAAGTGGGGAAAGGATGCCCTATTCAACAAATGGTGCTGGGATAATTGGCAAGCCACATGTAGAAGAATGAAACTGGATCCTCATCTCTCACCTTATACAAGAATCTACTCAAGATGCATCAAAGACTTTAAGACCTGAAACCATAAAAAATTCTAGAAGATAACATTGGAAAAATCCTTCTAGACATTAGCTTAGGCAAAGACTTCATGACCAAGAACCCCAAAGCAAATTAAACAAAACAAAGATAAACAGTGAGACATAATTAAACTAAAAAGCTTCTGCACAGCAAAAGAAATAATCAGCAGAGTAAACAGACAACCCACAGAGTAGGAGAATGCAATCTATACATCTGAGGGACTAATATCCAGAATCTACAAGGAACTCAAATCAGCAAGAAAAAAAAATCCCATCAAAAAGTGGTCTAAGGACATGAACAGACACTTCTCAGAAGATATACAAATGGCCAACAAATTGCTCAACGTGGCTAACGATTATGATACCACCTTACTGCCACAAGAATGGCCACAGTCAAAAAAATCAAAAAAGAATAGATGTTGTATGGATGTGGTGAAAAGGGAATACTTTTTTACACTGTTGGTGGGAAAGTAAACTAGTATAACCACTAGTATAATCTCCATGCTGTGGAAAACAGCATGGAGATTCCTTAAAGAACTAAAAGTAGATCTACCATTTGATCCATCAGTACTCCTCCTGGGTATCTTACCCAGAAGACAAGACATCACACACACACACACACACACACACACACACACACACACACACACAGCAACTTACAAGTCAAGAAAAAAATTGAAAATATTTTGAACTAAATGAAAACAAAATGTGTAGGATTCAGCTAAAAGCAGTGCTTAGAGGGAAACTCAGATTTGTAAATGCCTCTATCAGAAGAAAGAAGACAACCAGTGATACAGGTTTCCACCTTAAGCTAGAAAAAGCAGAGAAAAATAAACCCAAAGCAAGCAGAAAGAATATGCAAACATATTAAAGAAAAATTTGAGAAGCCCTAAATTCTATGGAAAAAAAAATTATGATAAATCCCACCTAGAGCTGGGTACAGTGGGTGGCTCATGCCTGTAATCCCAGCACTTTGGGAGGGGAGGACTGCTTTAGCCCAGGAGTTTTCAAGACCAGCCTGGGTAACAGAGGGAGATCTACATCTCTACAAAAGAATTAAAAAAATAAAAAAAGTAGCAGGGCATGGTGTCACATACCTGTGGTCCCAGCTACTTGGGAGATTGAGGCGGGAGGACTGCTTGAGCCCTGGAGATTGAGGCTGCAGTAAGCCACAGTTGTGCCACTGCCCTCCATCCTGGGCAATGGAATGAGACCCTCTCTTTAAAAAAAAAAATCCCCAGCTAAACTGATCAAGAAAAAGACAAATTACCAATATCAGGAATGAAAGCAGGTATAACATTACAGATTGTGCAGACATGAAAAAGATATGGGGATGTTATGAGCAATTTTATGACAATAAACCTGACAAATGCAATAGACAAACTTCTGAAAAATACAACATACCGCTGGGTGTGGTAGCATATGCCTGTAATCCCAGCTACTCAGGAGGCTGAGGCAGGAGAATTGCTTGAACCCAAGAGGCGGAGGTTGTGGTGAGCCGGGATCTGCCATTGCACTCCAGTCTGGGCGACAGAGCAAGACTCCGTCTCAAAAACAAACAAAAATACCAAAACAGAAACAAGATGAAATGTGAAATCTTAAGTCCTTTTAAAGAAACTATTTGTAAATCAAAAGTTATCCTTTAAAGCAAATTCCTGGCTCAGATG